TACCGTTGACCAAATTGGTATTATAATGATTTCTGAAGGATCATGTAACACTAAAGAAGTAATGGCTGCTGAAAATTCAGCTTTGCCTTAACAGGAATGAATTATATATTAAAATAGAAAAAAGTTATTTTAAATTGTAACCATATTTCACAATATTACTGTGTTTGATGTATATTACTGTGTTTTATTCAGCCTTGGTGAGCATGAGAGATTTCTTTCATCAACAAATCAAAGAAACCCCAAACTTGAACAGTAGTGGGAAAAGTGTTTACTTTTATATGTGGATGGACAGAAAAGTCTAGGTTAGAAGTTTGCTTGTGCAGTGGAAGCTGTAAAGTGGAAAAGGCTTTCTACTGGTTGTCAAAAGTCTAGCGATGCAACACAAATCTGTGTGACATAAATCTCATAGAATCTAAACACAAGTTTCTTACAATTAGTGTTATATACCTACCCTCTGTATGAACTTTCATTTGAAAAAACATTCGGCAGCTACCATAATAATGGATTAACATAGAAATAGAGCAAAGAAAATAAGAGCAAAACCTTTTCTGATATTGTTATTCTCCACCTTGAAGACAGCTGTTGTAGAAAATCTAAGGCATCTGCTGTGATATTTCAGAAAATATGGAGATCTGTATGTAAGCTGTAGCACCTGTATAATTATAAGGTTATTTAATAACCATCCTCCACCAGTGGCCTTATATTCCACAGGCATGCTGTAATCCAATGAAATATAATGAGGTTATTTGTACTATAATAGCAGTGTACGCCATAGATTGCTGTATTATTTGCCTACATATAGACACTGCTTCTTAGTCTTTCCATTTTTTTTCCTCTTTAGAAATTTGTGATTTTATTTTTTTCCCATTTTGATGTTATACTTTGACATTAGAGATTGTTGTCATTGTATTGCATTGAAAGTCTTCATAAGGAATCTTCTGGGCAACATCAACCCCTAACCACCACATGAGAACTGCCAACTACAGAAACAAAGGAACATGTGTGGAGACAAAGCATCCCGTGTGAAACAGCCTTTAGAGAGTTGAGTTTGTGAAGCATGACAGACGGTTCCATGTTCTTCCTTACTGGCCTTTTTCTGCCCACTGTAGGTTTATATTTGACCCAATCCAAAACCTCAGGTGTTCATGGATCCTGGAGATGATTGCTAAAGCAGCACTGCTGGCTTTTATTAGCTGCTGTTGATTACACATGCATCACATAATCACAGATGAACTAATTAGGTTTTTCTGCAGCGGTTAATTGAAAGCACTCAAATGAACGCTATTTCCCTTGATACCTTTTAACAGATGTATTTTCTACAACCATTTACCAAAGACTGTTCTGCATTGTATTTCCTGTTACACCGCAAAAAAAAAAAGCATACAGCTTTCAGAACAGAGGATATTATTCCCTGTGGAGGGATGGAAATATTCCAATAACCATCATAGATAAACTATATTTGCAAGGAAATGCTGGTGCTTGCTAAGCAGCAAAAGCTTAAGCTCTGCATTAATGAAATATCAAATTAGAGCAGTCATAAACTTTGTCGCTGTCATAATGGCTCGTGTCTTGTTTTCTGTCGGCTGTGCATGATAATCCAACACGCAACATGGTTTCTGTGCCAACTTTGCAGTGTAAACAGCTTTAGATGATTAAACATTTGGAGACAACAGATCTCAATTCAGTATGGAAATAAATGCAATAAAGACCAGTTGTAAATATATCTTTGCTTTTGGTTAGGTTTTGAATAGCAAACTTAATACTGTATATACTTTTGCTTATGCCAACTCCATTACCCATACTGTAAAGAAATTGGATAGTTTTATAAAAAAAAAAAATGTAGCTAATTTGGCTCATTTTAAGTAAAACGCCAGTAAAATGGTTATTGCATGCGATAAATGTGGATTTAATTTGAATATGTTTGTTTTTGACACCATAAGCTATCAAAACCATGAGATTTTTTATCTGTCAGTGGTGACAATTCAATAGATGGAGCTGGAAATCAGTTTTAAATCATCCTGTGATATCATTTTCTTCTTAATTGTACTTGAATGCTAAATTTGCAGGGGTTATAACTATTTAGCATTGCGTTTGTTGGGTTACAGCAAGAAAAACACATTCTGGAAGAACGAGGAACTTTTCGTTCTTCATTTCTATAGCCGGTTTTATCTCATGTCTCAGAAAGCATGAAAAGCTCTTTTAGTCTGTCTCACACATCAACGATCTGTTTCTGCAGCATTTGTTCAGCTGTGCCGTACAATTTGAAGTCTGTAAAATATATTAATCAATGAATCATTTATTACGAATGTGCTAATTCATTAAGAAAATATTCATTAAGCCCATCCAAACGTCTTCCTGTGTTTGTTTTTCAGACAGTTGCAGTGTGCTCAGTCCAGACACTCTGTTCATAACAAATTATTTTGTTCATGATTTATGCTTCGTGATATGATGACTTCAAACTTGCACAGCACAAAAGTAGCAAATATTTTATCAGCAGAGTCATGCTTATCTTCAGTTTTTCAGTTTATATCATAAGATGGGCAGTAATATAATTCACAGAATATTTTCCCCAGACGCACTATGCAGATTTTTCAAGCTATGAATTCAGTGGATGTCTCCGGCTGAGGTAGATTCACTGTGAGGCGTCTGTGAGAGCTGGTGTTGTTTACAACATGCCTTTCTGCAGCACTGCCCAAATAAACAGCTGTCAGTAGACACACACAGAAGGAAATCCTCATCAGTCGACCTGAACCACCACCAATATGTGAGAAATTAAAAACATGAGAAGCTGAGGTGAACATCTTTTCCAATATACTGCCCTGCAGTCTTATTTGACATCAATCTTAAGTAAAAGCCTCCTTCACTGGATGCATGGTTTTCTGGGAATATAAAAAAAGTCATTTTTGCCATTTGATTATGAATTGTTTAAAGGAAAATGTGATTTTTCTGCCACTAGGGTCATCCAATCTGGAAATAATAGGCCTCATTCACCATTCTCAAAACCAGTTAAAACACAATAAACATTTAGATTAGACTACATGTCATTTGCCAGTCTCTTATGCTCACCAAGGCTGCATATATTTGATTAAATACAGTAAAATCAAAAAATATGATGACATATTACTTCAATTGAACTATTTTATATATTTTAATATATTTTAAAGTGTCATTTATTCCTGTGATGGCAAAGCTGAATTTTCAGAAGTCATTACTTAACTCTTCGGTGGCTCATGATCCTTCAGAAATCATTCTATTATGCTGATTTGGTGCTCAAGAAACATTTATATTTATTATTATTAATGTTGAAAATGTGATGCCTAATATTTTTTGTGGAAACCATTATGCATTTTTTCAGTTTTCTTTAATGAATGGAAAGTTCAAAAGAACTTGTTTAGAAATACAGTTTATTTTGTAACAAAAAATTCCATGTTCTTTTGTCCTTAATTAATGTGTCCTTGCTAAATAAATTTGAAACTTAAAATGTTTTAAGTTGAAATTTTAAAAAATATATTTTAATTAGTAGTGCGTATTTTAAAAACTTCACTCTAAAAAATGCTGGGTTGTTTCAACCCAACTTTGGGTCAAATATGGACTAACCCAACTTTTGGGTTAAAACTTTAATTAAAAAATTTAACCCAACAGCTGGGTTAGTCCATATTTGACCCAACGTTGGGTTGAAACAACCCAGCATTTTTTAGAGTGTTGGCTTACAAAATTACCTTAAAACTACAAAATGTAATCTTATATGTAATACATTTTATGGTGAATTTTTAATTAATCAAGATTACTGTTTAAATTGTGATGATTTTACACATAAACACATGCATACGCATGGTTAGTAAATATAATATAAAATGCTTTTTCACCCCATCGTCCTTTTCTGACCTGCTTTGTTTTCCATTGTTTGTACAGGTAGTTGAATGAATGAATGAATTATGCATTTATATAGCGCTTTACTGTGTATTGTTGTACACCCAAAGCACTTTACAATCATGTGGGGGGGTCTCTTGCTCAACCACCACCAGTGTGCAGCATCCACTAGTTCTGCACAAAACTTTCAATCATCTATTTTTAGACCACTCCAAAAGCAGTGCTTTGATGCACAACCGAATCAGGTTCTGAACAGCGTTCTTGTCACATTAAATTAGGATTAGAGAACATTTTAACTTTGGGGAAAAAGAAAGAAAGAAAAAAAAATTACACTTGAAATGCATGCTTTAGGGGGTCCATATCAGTTTTATGTCTAGTAGATGCTCATGTTCGATTTTTCAAAAGACTGAGGTCTGGTTTGGTGTGTCTAGCCATCCGTTTAGTGATTCAGCACCAGGCAATGCCTGAATATTTCAAAGGGCTCTTTGCAGCACATCAATCTCAACCAAAATCAGTCTTATCTCTGGCCGCTGCTGCTGCAGCTTTCATACTCAGTCCCTCATTCTGTACGTGGGAGGTCAATATCTGACAACTGGCATTACCATATTTTCATCCTGACTGGTGTATAAATAAGTTGGCCGTGTAGGGTAAAACTAACAATTTGTCACAGTTGACTGCCTCCCACCCCTCTGAGCTCTGTTTGTTTGCACAGCTACACAAGCTGCAAGTGCTACTGTAATTAATATCTGAACCTCAGTAGGGGCCGGCAAAGAGACATCTTTGACCACAGAGCTGGTCAGAGCGGTGCGTTGAATCCTAATGCCAAGCATGCAGTTGTTTTTAAGCTAAAGACATTGGCATAAAGCACAGGGGATGAAAGGGAGTTTGTTATGCACTAATGACTGCTAAACTAGATTGTATTATTATTTTGCTGATTATTAAAGGCCCTTGCCAATTCTGCATTGTCTGTTTTAATGCCTTTTCAACTTATTCTGCTTTTTCATGTCGTTCCTTATCCTCACACAAAGCTATCGTATGGCTTCAGAAGACTTTTTTTATACTCTTAATCGTGAACATGTAGATTAATTACCGATCTTGACAAAACAGCTGTTCTCTCTCTTTTTCTCCAGCCCTCTGAAGAGCCCAACATCCTGCTGGCTTCCCCTAAGTTGCTGCTTCCTTCAGGCAGTCAGCTGCCGGCCAGCACTCCCCTGTCTGTGCACCACCAGCTCCAGCTGCTCCAGCAGCAGCTCACCCAACAGCAGCAGCAGACACAGGTGGCCGTGGCCCAGGTGAGATGGAGTAAATGCAAGTGTATAATTAAAAAAGAGCAGCTAGCTCATCTAATTTGCCTCTATAATTACATGTATTATTCTTTTGAGGATGGTTTTATTAATGTGCTTTGTGCATTATGCAAATTGTTTTTTTTTATGGGTCAGGTGAGTTTAAGTGATTTATTTATTTATTTATTTTTCCCTCAAACAAATAAACACAATACAAACAATAAGTGTTCCTCCAGAAATTTGAGCAGGAAAATTGGGTAAAATGTTTCTACACTGACAATCTTGGCATTTTGTCAGGTCTCAACTAGTTCCTTTTTAAGTACTTGAGCTGTTTTGTCAAACTGTTTGTTCAATATATTATTGAAATCTGAAATTATTTTTTCTTAATTGTGTCTTAACAGTCTTAATTGTGGATCGAAATGTAGGTGTTCACCAAACATTGTTCTTCTGTAAAGAAAATCTATTTCTTGTAGTAGCACTTTTACAAAAACTGTTGCCTCCAATTTAAAGTCTTTTCTCATGCTCGATCGGCTACGGTGGTCTCAATGTGAACCTTAGCTACAAATCCCAACATTAGAACTGGTTGTGAATGACTTGGAGTGCACAAAACAGCTGTAGTCTTGTGTGTCTGAAGCATTTTCGTTCTTTCCGGCACTAGACTGGTTTATTTATTCAGCCTTTGAGAGCATGCGGTTTGCTTGTTTAGCCACAGTTCTACACCAAGTGTTTGGCAAGAGGAGAAAGCCATTGTTTTTCATAAGCATTATGCTCAGCCAGAGGGTGTTCTCTCTCTTAAGAAAGTGCTTTTTTTGTTTTTGTTTTGTTGTGTGTGTGTGTGTGTGTGTGTGTGTGTGTGTGTGTGTGTGTGAAAGACACTTGACACTCTTCTTCACAGGTCTGAGACTGGTGTTACAGGGGGTGGAATTTTGTTCCACGCGCCTTTGACCCACATCTTTGTGTCTGCATGTCGCTTTGAGGTGTGTTGAGGATAGTCAGGGATGTCCATCCTGTCATAACTCTGATAAGCAAAGCCAGCCAGTTGAAAACGTACCCAGATTTGCAACACAACACGCTCAAAGAGAAACAAGCTGTGGCTTTGCTCTGGCTGCTGTGATGTCTTCAGTCACTGAAGAAGAGGAGACTCTTTGAAGCACGCTATCAAAGCGGCACACGCAGGTCAATCGTCGCTTATTAATTTATTTCTCCATTTGTTTTGCAGTGGCTCTCATCCTTAGGGAAAATGATCGGCAATTGAAACGATATTTGCTTTTCTGAAGTCTGGATTAGTGGTGGAGTGGGTTATTTGTGGAGGAAGGTCTTTGTGTTTCTTTTAATCGTATTCTGGTGGAAGATTCTCCTTTAGACAGTTCAGTACAGATAAAATGAGTCAAACACATTTGTGACCCTGGACCACAAAACCAGTCTTAAGTGTAAATTTTTGGAAATTGAAATTTATACATCAGCTGAAAGCTGAATAAATAAGCTTTCCATTGATGTATGGTTTGTTAGGATGGGACAATATTTGGTCGAGATACAACTATTTGAACATCTGGAATCTGAGGGTGCAAAAAAATCTAAATATTGAGAAAATCGCCTTTAAATTTATCCAAATAAAGTCCTTAGCAATTAATTTTACTAATCAAAAATTAAGTTTTGATATATTTACAGTAGGAAATTTACAAAATATCTCCATGGAACATGATTGTTACTTAATATAATAATGATTTTTGCCATAAAAGAAAAATCGATAATTTTGACCCATACCATGTACTTTTGGCTATTGTTATAAATATACCCGTGCAACTTAAGACTGGTTTTGTGGTCCAGGGTCACATTTGGCTTCTGCCGTGTCCTGAAAACGATGCCCACGTCAAATCTCCCAAAAATCAGTTTTACATGTTTGTATATTGAAGATGTTTTATGAGAGCAATTCAGGCAAAATTTCTTATGTATCTGAGTTCTAGTACTGCACGAGTCAAATGTGGTTTCTCTTAAATGAAAGCCTTGTTATGGTTGCTGTTTAGTAAAAAATAAATAAATAAAATAAAGAGATCTGTATACAGAGGGTTTATAGAAAATAGCCTCTCTAAATGCTTTGTATTTCAGCACGGCTTGTTTTCCACTTATTTTTTTTTTCATGCCCTCATGCAGCTTTCAATGGGGTGTTTAAAGAAAAATCAGCCTTGAAATATTTGATGTAATTTCTTTGTGCCATTTGAGGGCAGCATCAATGGAATAAACAGCCCTATAAAAACCTTGTAATGACTACAGTGCAGTGGAAGGGAAAAAAAGATTACATTTGTGCTTTGAAATGACTATGGTCATGAAAGTCTCCACTTTAAATATGTGTGATTAAATAGATTGTTAGAACATGAATCACACAAATTACCTTTTTTAGAGCTCTCTAGGTTATGTCAGTGAAAGTGAATCATTTGGTGACATCCTAGTGCCATTAAATCGGTTCTCTTGAGAAAGCATGGAAAAGGGTTTAGAAAACAGCGTAAATGTGAGATTTAGGGGTGTTTTTACATAAGACTAGTGCATGCAGACTGAGCATTGATCATTCCTTACCCATGAACTTTAATCCAAAATTCAGAAGGATTTTGAGGGCTCTGATTGTTGATTTGATTTGTGTTGTGTTGTGTTGTGTTGTGTTGTGTTGTGTTGTGGTTTGGTTTTTAAAAGGATAGTTCACCCAAAAATCATCTTCGGAACACAAATTAAAATATTTTTGATGAAATCCGAGAGCTTTCTGACCCTGCATAGACAGCAACGTAACTGACACATTCAAGGCTATCACGTTGTTTTCTTTGTGCACAAAAACTATTCTCGTAGCTTAATAACATTACGGTTGAACCACTGATGTCACCTGGACTATTTTAACGATGTCCTTACTACCTTTCTGTACTGTGGCCGAGAAGTGCTAAACAAATCACAATTCTGAAAACAAAATAACAAATTACAAATGCAAATGCAAGTCTAA